AATTTGCAGACCAAAAAGAAAAAAATTTTCAATGAGAAAGAACTAAAAGGTTTTTAAACTAATCAGCTAGACTACTTTGAGCTTGAAACAAAATAAAAGAATAAAACTAACGAAAATTTGAATTATGGCTAAAACTATAGCAATTTAACAATTTCAATAGTAAGATTTATGTATTTTCTCTTATAGGAATTCAAATAAGTATAAGTTTTTCATTTTACCTAATCTGGCATTATAAAAATGGTTATTCTGATTTTATATTTCAGCTTACTAACACAGAGGCAAAGCTGAGCTTCGCACCACTTGCGGTACAAAACATGAAAGCCTCTGTCAGAAAAAAATTGAAAAAAAAGCGGAAAATTAGATCTATCAAAATGAATGACACTAGTTTTGAAAAAATATATAAAAGACAAGAAAATGTGAGATTAGCATAAGAAGAAAAATTGGGAAAAATGGTATAAACTAAATGTAAGGGTATTAAAACTTGGAGAGACAAAAATCAAAACAAAAATCAAGAAATTTTTTGACTTCCACGTAGTCCAGCTACAGTCTTTTTGCACGAAAAAAAAACAAAAATCAAAAAGTGTGTTTTGTGTGAAGCAAAAAATCTGGTATGCCCTTATGTTGTAAGATAAAATTCAGGTCTGTCAAAAAAACAGGCTGCGATTTGCAAGCAATCTATTTTTCCAAAAAAAGAAGATTTATACCGCTTGACAAATTGAGAAATTTTTTTAATTGATTTTTTAAAACAGGCAATGTCTTCAAAAACAATTATGGCACTACCTGCAAAAACAATAGATTTTTTGAAAAAAGTTTTTATATCTCGCAATTTTACTCTTAGACAATTTTCTATCATATGATCGATTTGTAGACCGAAAAAACAATTTTCTATGAGATTGAATTTAAAGGTTTTCAAACTCATCAGCTGGACTACTTTGAGCTAGAAACATCATAATAAAAGAATAAAACTGATAATAATTTGAATTATGGCTAAAACTATGGCAATTTAACAATTTCATTAGTGAGATTTATGTATTTACTCCTATAGGATTTCAAATAAGTATAAGTTTTTCAAACTACCTAATATGGCCTGTTGAACATGGTTATTCTGGTTTTATATTTCAGTTTAATAACACAGAGGCAAAACTGAGCTTCGCACCACTTGTGATACAAAACATGAAAGCCTATGTCAGAAAAAAAAAGAAAAAAAAATCAAAAAAACTAGATCTATCAAAATGAATGACAATAGTTTTGAGAAAAAATCATGGCAAGACAAGAAAATGTGAAATTAGCCTGAGAAGAAAAAATGAGAACTTAACCGAATCAAGACTTTTCCGTCCCACGTGTATTCGTTACCTCAAACTAAGTTGCCGAGAGTTATTTAGGAGAGCAAATGTCTTGTTACCGATTGCAAAACTCTTGCTTGTCTCAAGGGTCAAAAGAACTAGAAGCTCTTCTTCTCTGCTTATTATCATCTTTATGACTTATTGCCGATCACACATCGCTAGGAAGGAATTAAAGATTCCAAAATTTGTGATTCGGGTTACGAGTTCCTTTCAACATGCACGAGTGACAGAGATCAAAATCATCACAAGTTTTACACTTGTACCGTGTTTCAAAAATAGGACAACGCTGGCAATTGTCGCATTGAACTTCCGCGTGTACAAGGTGAAGCATGCCCATGTCAGGAGGGGTATTTGAAATACAAACAACGGGATCGTCTAAAACTGATGGCTGCAAGGAACTCAATAGGTCCAAAGGCTTTAAGTGCTCCACGAAAACGAAAAAAAACCTCCCACTGTAGACTGGCTCAGCGAATCTTGCAGCTCATCGTCTAATTAAAGCGGAATTTTATCACCGTCAGAATCTCTCCATCGCAAACTTAATTCCGTTCCAATAGATGCTAGGTGCGGAAATTTTTCTAAAAGCCAACTTTTCAGCTGCAAAAAAAACTCCATTTTGCACATTCTTCAGCTGAAGCTCTCTGCTATTAACTCTGTAAACAGCTTTGACAGTTCTAGACGTAGAGGAATTTGTTTCTGTAAATTGTTTATTTGCGGACAAAGACTAAGGATAGTCATCAATAGGTATATACACGAAATCACTAGAAGAGTCTGCCTTTTCAGATAACAATTCAACGTTTGCTTTGAATCTATCAGCTTTCCTGTCATCTGCTTGATCTGTGTTAGTTTTTAGAGACAAGTTGACTTCAAGTTTATGGTCATAAATTCCTGGTGTTTTGGACTGGCCACCAGTTTTCTCGTCTGCATGATATGTGTTGACTTTCAGAAATGTATTGGTTTCAAATTCAGGGTAATTACAATCTAATGTATTGACTGGCAATCAGCTTTGCTTTTTGCTTGATCTGTGCTGGTTTTCAAAGATGTATTGGTTTCAAAAAGTTTTGTTTGATTATGTCATAATAGGTTGTCTTGCAATTGTCAAAAATCCGCAAAAAAATGTCTAGACTGACTTCAGATATAAGTGATTTGTCATAAGACAAAATTATATACTAGAAGACTCTACTCTTTGACATGACATTGTAGAGTAGGCTGAGTTTTCTTCTGTCTAAGTCGGAAAGATTTCTTCCAAGTATTCAAGCTAAAGTCTTTCCGCAGAAAAGAAACAACAATCAAAAAGTGTGTTTTGTGTGCAGCAAATATTCTTGTCTGTTTCGATGTTGGAAAATAGTTGTCAAAAAAACAGGCTGCGAATTGCAAAAAATCTATTTTTCCGAAAAAGAAGATTTGTAGCGTTTCACAAGGGACAAAAATTTGATATGACTTCGATTGAAATCTCGGTTTTGGTTAACATGGCGAACCTCCAAATACCGCTTAACTAAGATATTCTTCCCACTCAATTTGTTGGTTTTATCATTTCAGAAATTTTTTGGATAAGGTGTTTAACTTTCACACAAGGAGAAAAAATTAGTCAGACGGTATTTTACAGCCAAAAATACGTAAGTCACACAATGTCACGGTGCGACACAAAAAAAACAACACACGAAAAATTCCTAGTCGTAGACTTTTCGGTCAATTTTCTGGACACGTAAAACTTAGTTTCCCAAGTGTGAATTTGGATGACTACCTTTTTTGTCAACTGGAGAGACTTACTGAAGAAAAATTTCAGTTGTAGCGCATCAAAGTTGAGTTAAATGACTATTCTATCAAACTTTTTTCCTCGTCGACAGACGCAATATGAGGACAGAAAAAGAAACAGCCAAAAAAAGTGTTTTTTCATAAAACTTGAACTTTATTTTTTTTAAATGTTTAGCAATTTGAGCGGTCCAGAGGATAGCATGACATTTTTTTCTGAAAGTAGGTCTCTAAGCCGATAAAAAAGGCAGAGTTTATTCGCCCCGAAAAAAAATTTTTAGCAAAAAGAAGGAAAAAAGAAAACAAGCAGTTAAGCTTAAAAAAGTTGCGAAAAGCAGAAAAATATCAGAGCACTGCAAAAAACTATTATGTTAGGAAAACAACTTAACGAGAAAAAAAAACGATCCATAAAATGGCTTTTCAGCCGACAAAACATAAGCAGTCAAAAAAAGCCTACAATTTTTTTGGAAAAGAATAAATTCCATTTTTATCAAGACAAAAATCAAGACGTTGAAATTTTTTTGACTTCCACGTAGTCCAGCTACAGTCTTTTTGCACGAAAGTAACAAAAATCAAGAAGTGTGTTTTGTGTGAAGCAAAATTTCTGGTTTGCTCTTATGTTGTAAGATAATATTCAGGTCTATCAAAAAAAAACAGGCTGCGATTTGCAAGCAATCTATTTTTCCAAAACAAGAAGATTTATAGCGCTTCACAAATTGAGACAAAAATTTTTATTGACTTGCATGGCAAACATCCAATTGCCGCGTATCTGTGGGGTTCCTCCCACTCATATTGTTGGTTTTATCATTTCAGAAAAATTTTGGATTAGTAAAATGAAAAACCACCTCACAAGCAATACAGCGCAGTTGAATCGCCGTTTACAGACGTTTTTTTTAAAACAGGCATTGTCTCCAAAAACAATTATGGCACTACCTGCAACAAAAAGATATATTTTTAAAAAACTGCTATTAGATCTCGCAACTTTACCATTAGACAATTTTCCATCACATGATCGATTTAATGACCTTAAAAAATAACTTTTCAGTGAGAATGAATTTAACGGTTTTTAAACTCATCAGGTAGACTACTTTGTGCCTGAAACAAAATAAAAAAAGAATAAAACTGATAAAATTTTGAATTATGGCTAAAACTATAGCAATTTAACAATTTCATTAGTAAGATTTATGTAATTTCTCTTACTGAATTTCAAATTAGTATAAATTTTTCAAAATACTAAATCTGGTCTGTTAAAAATGATTATTCTGATTTTATATTTCAGTTTACTAATACAGAGGCAAAGCTGAGCTTCGCACCACTTGCGATACAAAACATGAAAGCCTATTTCAGAAAAAATTTAAAAAAAAAACGAAAAAACTAGACCTCCCGGGTCGAGATCCCGCTCAAAAACCGCTCAAGATATGAGCGGTTTGAGCAGTTTTTCAGCAAGATTTGAGCGGTTTGGGCTTTGGAAAAACCGCTCAAACCGCTCAAATCTTGTTTAAAAAACCGCTCAAAAACCGCTCATTTCTTGCGGTGATTTTTGAACAGTTTTTCAAGCACAATCTTGCTTCAAGCATGAGCGGTTTGAGCGGTTTTTGAACGGTTTATCTAAAAAAAACGCTCAAAAACCGCGCAAGATTTGAGCGGTTTGAGCGGTTTTTTTAGACAATTAAGCTCAAAATCTTGCTTCAAAATGAGCGGTTTTTGAACGGTTTATCTAACAAACCGCTCAAAAACCGCGCAAGATTTGAACGGTTTTGAGCGGTTTATCTAAAAAAAACGCTCAAAAACCGCGCAAGATTTGAGCGGTTTTTTTAGATAAACCGCTCAAAACCGTTCAAATCTTGCGCGGTTTTTTTAGATTCGTTACCTCAGACAAAGTTGCTGAGAGTTATTTACGGGGGAAAATGTCTAGTTTCCGATTACAATATTCTTGCTTGTCGCAAGGGTCAAAAGAACTAGAAGCTCTACATCTCATCTTTGAGATTTGTTGCCGATCACACATCGCTCAGAAGGAATTAAAGCTTCCAAAATTTGTGATTCGGGTTATGAGTTCCTTTTAACATGCATGAGTGACAAAGATCAAAATCATCACAAGTTTTACATTTGTACCGTGTGCCAAAAATAGGACAACGGTGGCAATTGTCGCATTGAACTTCCGCGTGTACAGGATGAAGCATGCCCATGTCAGGAGGGGTATTTGAATTACAAACGACGGGATCGTCTGAAACTGATGGCTGCAAGGAATTCAATAGGTCCAAAGGCTTTAAATGCTCCACGAAGACCAAAAAACCTCCCACTGCAGATTGGTTCAGCGCATCTTGCAGCTCTTGATCTGATGAAAACGGAATTTTATCACCGTCAGAATCTCTCCATCGCACACTTAAATCAGTTCCACTAGATGCTAGATGCGGAAATAAGACTAAGAGCCAACTTTTCAGCTGCGGAAAAATTCCGTTTTGCACATTCTTTAGCTGAAGCTGTCTGATATTAACTCTGTAAACACCTTTGACAGCTCTAGACGCAGAGGAATGTGTTTCTTTAAATTGTCCATTTGCGGACAGAGAATAAGGAGAGTCATCAAGAGGTATATACACGAACTGACCAGAAGAGTCTGCCTTTTCAGATAACAATTCAACGTTTGCTTTGAATCTATCAGCTTTCCTGTCATCTACTTGATCTGTGCTGGTTTTCAGAGATGTATTGTGTTCAAATTTAGGGTCATTACTTTTTGATGCTTTTGACTGGTAATCAGTTTGGTCAAGTGCTTGATCTGTGTTGGTTTTCAGAGAAGTATTGTTTTCAATTTTAGGGTAATCACTTTCTGATGATTTTGACTGGCAATCAGTTTGGTCAACTGCTTGATCTGTTTTGATTTTCAGAGAAGTATTGTTTTCAATTTTAGTGTCATTACTTTCTGATGCTTTTGGCTGGTAATCAGTTTGGTCAAGTGCTTGATCTGTGTTGGTTTTCAGAGAAGTATTGTTTTCAATTTTAGTGTCATTACTTTTTGATGCTTTTGACTGGTAATCAGTTTGGTCAAGTGCTTGATCTGTGTTGGTTTTCAGAGAATTATTGTTTTCAATTTTAGGGTAATCACTTTCTGATGATTTTGACTGGCAATCAGTTTGGTCAACTGCTTGATCTGTGTTGGTTTTCAGAGAAGTATTGTTTTCAATTTTAGTGTCATTACTTTCTGATGCTTTTGACTGGTAATCAGTTTGGTCAAGTGCTTGATCTGTGTTGATTTTCACAGATGTATTGGCTTCAAAAACTCGCGTTTTTTCTCCTGATTTTTTTCTTTTGATTAAGTCATAATGGGTTATCTTCGCGTTGTCGAAAATCCCCAAAAAGTTGTCCAGGCTGACTTCAGATATGAGTGATGTGTCATGAAACAGAATGATATAACAGAACACTCTGCTCCTTGACATGACATTGTAGAGTAGGCGGAGTTTTTTTCTGTCTAAGTCGGAAATATTTATCAAGATTATACACGCACTGAACTCATTAGAGTAAAGATCTGCCTCCAATGGGTGGATCATGATGCACTCATTGTCATCAAATAATCGTTTTGAGGATAATCCAAGTAAATTTTTAAGAAGACAATGTTTTTCGTCAATATCCAGAAAAAAACGGTGGAAAAACAAAGGTTGTTGACTGTCACGTAGCAATGATAACAGTTTATAGTGGATGAGATCAAAAACACGAAACTGGTAGTCTTCGTCATCAAACAAAGACTCATAGCATATATCGACAATTGTTTGTGGTCCATGAATGAAATGACCAGGTAGAGGATAATGCGGAATGAATAGCGAGTCTTTCGTGAAACTCAGCTCATCATCATTTTCTTTCTGTATAAACTCGTAAAGTCTCTGCAAGTTGTACACAACATTTGACGTGCTGCGGTAATTGTATTTCAAAGAAACGATATCACAGTTGTATGTTTGATCCCAACAATTCAATTGCTGGGATGGCAAATTACATTGGAAAACATCGAACGCGATGCAAGCGCAGTGGAAAGAAAAAAAATTGATGCTCGACATGGAAGCGTGCGCATCGTCAACATACACAATCATTTCACTCATTAACGTTTTTAAGTGTTCCGCTGTATCATCTGTGATCATGTGATTGCAGTAGTAAATGCCTAACCTGGTGCCTCGAGAAAGATTTGCATCGCAAAAGAGTTTCTCCGATGCATCGAACGTTTCAATACTAGCATCAGCAAATACTTTTTTGTACTCTGCGACTTTCTTAGCACTGAAAACCAGGAGCAGAAATCCTTTTTTGTTTGTTGTCAGTATATCACGTATAAGTCTTGCTATTAAAATAGCACTCTTTCCAGATCCTGCACATCCAGTAATGACAAGGCTCTCAGACTCTTTTTCGTAAGCACACCTCTGTTCAAGTGTCAAATAGCTATAACCTAAAAAATGGCTGAAAATATTTTTGTCAATCACTTCCGCTGAGCGGAGGATTTCAGACGATTCAACACTAGCTCGGTTTGCTTCACTGATTCTGTTTTCGAAAGAAATTTTGCCCTCTTGAAGTGATTTTTCTATCTCCGACATACAGCTATCGAAATTTCTGTTTCCACTTTCATTAGTAGAAAGCATAGCACTGAGAGCAACTTGAACCCTGAAAAGGTTTCCTTGCAGCGTCACTGCATGATCACTGCAATAAACTGCTTCTATGTTCTGTTTCCACCAGTTGTCGAAGTTCCTATGATTGTCCGAGTTTGGAAAATCGTAGCAGCCATTGCTACTTTTCAACAAACCAATGCTTAGAGACTGGTCATCTCTCAGGTTGCTGAAGCATGATTTATTGAAACTGGGTGCTTCTTTGTGAATTTCTGTCATGTTGGAAATCGCGACGCATCTGAAAACTCTGTATGGAAAAGAATTGTGTCGCAAACGATCTTCGTTTTCGAGCCTGAAAAACCACGGGTCCTCAGTTTCTTCTAAATCGTGTATCTGGAAAGACTCACTCGAAATCTCTTTAATTACAGACAGTAGCTGGTCTTGCTTTTTTGTCGCAGCCTCGAGAAATTTCGATAAATCTGATGATACCTTTTTAATCTCAATGAGCACAATGAAGTTTGATCCAATTACTACAAAGTCGTGCTCGTCTACGTAAGAAGTCAACGGGTCAGCGTCCCACTTATGGTTGTCAGATTTCGAAGAACTATTTTCTTTATTGTTATCAAGTGACCTCCACAGCTTGTATTGATGGTGCGAGATCTTTAAACCTTGGAAAACTGTGAGACGATCTACATTAGGAAGGCGTGTGACTCCATCTGAGAGATTTCGATACTTAAGCTGTTCCAATGCTCTGTAGATTGTCACTTCTATTTGGTAGTCTTCGATAATGTTTTCGGCTCCGGGAGAATTCAGTTTTGCTATTTTTGGACATGCTGGCATCATAATGGCAAAGCCGTCTCGCTTAAAGCAATCAATTTCCAAGCCCAGTCGAAAGATTTCCAAACGTTGTCTCAGTAAAGTTGATTTTTTAAATGATGATATATCGGCAGCACTGTTTTGTAGGTTTTGATCTATTTCGTTTGCACAGCACAGTTTTACTTTGTTGTTTTTAAAGACCTGCAAAAATTCTTCCAGTTCATCGTATATTCTGTCATTTTTTTCATCAGGATAAATCAGAACATGACAATAGGCTCTCGCTCGAGACATAGCATTGAATAGTAATCGTAGCGAATTGTCGTCAATTCCGACGAACTGATAGAAAATATAACAAACAGGAAACTCCAATGAACAGATATTCTGTTTTCCTGGTTCGGCGTATACGATGTTATCTCGCACAAAAAAGGTTCGCAAAACGTGTCTAATGTTTTTGAGAAACCAGCTGTCGTTTGTGTCTAGGACAACAAATCCAGAAGTGAACAAAGATTTCGTCGAATATTGAATTGTTGGCAACAATGATTCGATTGTGTCTCTGAAGTGGGGTTCCCGAATTGATGCATGGCAAACTTCAATGAACAATTGTGGTCCCTGAATCAAGTGACCAGGGATCGGATGATATGTGGAATATAGTGGCTCGTTTTTGAGTTGCAGGGACTGTGTGGCCTCTTTTGATTCCATGAATTTAGACAAGCTTGTAAGGGTGGATGCTATGCAGCTCGTGCTGCGCAAGTTGCGGCTCAGCTGCATCACATGAAATACGTGAAGGGATTCCCAAGGTTGCATTTGATCTCGTTTTAGAAAACTTTGGTTGAAGTCGAATGTTAAACATGCGCAAGGGAACAACGAGAAGTCGATGTAGGATGCATGTGCATCATCAATGTATACAACAGCTCCGCTGATCAAAATTTCGACCAACTGACTGCTTTGCAAATCGTTTAAGTTTGAACTGCAATGAACAACAATCACTCTTCCTTGCCATAATCTTGGGTCGAATAATTCTATCATAACGTTTACACAGTCGATGCCAATCTTTTTCAAAAGTGCTTCATAATCAGTTAGCCGTTTTTGGTTAAAAACTACAAGAATGAACTTCGAATTAAGGTCTTCCAGAATGTGACGAAAAAACCTCGCCAGCAAAATGCAACTTTTTCCAGATCCGGTGCAACCAGTGATTATGATGTGCTCTGACTCATTTTCGTAAGCGTTTAGCTGCTCTTTGGTTATATATCTAATGCCAAGGACATCGTGGAAAATTTTCTTTGCGACGACATCGATTTCATCTTTTTCGGATGTTTTAAGGGGCATTTTGGAAGTTTTAAAAACATTGGGGTTTGTTGAGTCTGTTCGTTTTCCCTCAAAAGTTATTTCACTTTCTTTGAGTTTTTTGTCGGTTTCAAAAACTTCGTTATACAAGCCAAGCTTTGAGCTATCAATGATTTGATTGTTTGCTACCGCCCACAGTGACAAGAAAACGTTTCTCACAATTTCGATGTGATTTTGAAACTGCAAATCCATTTCATTGACTTGTTTCCTTACATTTAGTTTCCACCAGCTAGCAAAGTTTTCCAAATCAGTTGCAATTATGTCCTTTATGTCATTTTCAACGCCACAGTCAACAAGGTCTGGTCTTGTGGTGCTTCCCGGAAATGCCACAAAACGAAGCACCTTTAAGGGAATATCGCTATGCTGCAGAGGCGTTACATCATCAAATTCCCAGTTGTTTGCTATGATTCCTTTGATTATTTCAACCACTCTATCTTGTTGCTTTGCTGCCGATTGTACAAACTTTTTGACTGAATTACGATCTGAAATTTCGCAAAAAGCGTTTTTGACTTCGATTAGCACGATGTAGTTGGGTCCAAATATCACAAAGTCGTTTTCACCTTCATCGGCGTGAAGTCTGCTCTTTTTACAACCATGGCATCCTTTTGGAGAATGTTGACAAAACATCCTGTATTGATAGTGAGTGTACTTTGCACCGTGGAGCACAGTTATTTGTTCAGCTTGAATTCGTTCAAGTGCTCGGAATACTAACACTTCCGCTTCGTAATCTTGTTGTTTTTGATGATCAGTGACAATGTTGGAAGAGGTGGCTGCTTTTGAACGCTCGTCCTCTGAATATAAGTCGATGTACTGCTGTTTGGGACAACTTGGGAACATCTCCGCAAAGCCATCGTTCATTCGAAATGCTCCAAAAAATTTTTCACCAACTTCAAAGTATTCAGTTATTTTTTCCAGCTTTATTTCTGTCTCGAAGTATTTGGCAAAACTGTTCCTATCTATAAACCGAAAATGTTCGTATTTGAACTGCCCCTCGTGACGTGTGGGCCTGAAAACTCTGCCTTTTTTCCGAGGCAGTGTATCATAATACGATTCATCCGGAGACTGTTTTTTCAAATTTACTCGCTTAGCTGGCTTTTGAGGCTCAACATTAGTTATGCTGAAATGATGACTCGCCATGATGTCGTATGTACCTAAGTTCTCGTCTTTCACAGTACGAATTGCAAGCATGACATGTATAACAGGTATAACATTGCTTTTTACGATGCAGAAGGGTTTCACTTCAGTGGCAACAATATTTTGCTCCCACCAATGCTCTATATTGTGCCAGTCCTCCTTCACGATAACAGGAATGCAGTGCTCGTTACAAGAATGCTCTCGGTTTTCTGCAGATTCAACGGAGGCTGCCGAGGAAGATATAAGCTTGACACACTGAGGTTCATTTTCTTTCGGGTAAGCAAAGAACCTAAATACTCTAATATCCCTCTCTTTCGTTTTGTCTTGCAAACAAACTTTTTCGAGACTTTGAATTAGCTGAACAGTTTTGAACTGATCGAGTTCTTTTGTTCTAATTTTTTCTGGAAAAGTGGTCGCATCGTAATTGGGGGCTTTTCTGTTGACTACTTGTATCAAAACAATAAAATCCTCACCGAACACAATGAAATCGTTTCTGGCTTCAACCTTTCCTCTGTGTTCAAGGGAACAGTTTGGTATATTTGCTGTTTGAGCACAATCTTCAGGTGAGTGCTGCGGATTCCACATTTGCAACTGCTTGTGACTGATATTAACTTCGCATAAAGACAGGATATAGCTTTTCTTCTTATCCTCGAGGATTTTAAAAATATCTTTATTTGATTTGAATTCATCGAGGTCTGTAAATATATCAGATAAATATTCATCATCATCAATATGGCGATCGGGGACAGATGGCATACAACGAGGACTCAAAATTGCGATACCCAGCTTGTCAAAGAGTAATTTGCCATGCTCAAGATACTGTTCTTTATTGGTGAAATTCATTTTTGATTCGTTCCAATTTTGTTTGAAGCGTCGGACGTGTTTTTCTTTTTCGCGGCCAAAATTCAACCTGCGTAAAGTAATAACTCGTTCGCTTAAATTATTATAACAGCTACTTAACTAACCCGCCCCTGTTCAATTTTAAGATACCAAAATACTCAAGGAAGGGAATCTAACCTTTGTTGCGAGAGGCAATTTTTGCTACAAAAAACTGTTTAGAATTGTTTCAAGTCTACCGAATTCATTTTCCGTTCCTGAAAATTTTTCAGCAAACTTAAGCTTAAAAACTGACCAACCCAAACAAGTGCAATTTTTGGTATGAGCTAATAAAATCACATTAAACTGGTGTTCGACACTCCTTCAGAACAATATTAAGGAAAGTATAGAATGAAAATCAATGTTTAAAATACATGACAATAATTTGAATAACACTAGAAAAAATTGCTTTCAGGAAACACGATTGGTTCCCCGGCAAACAAAAATTGCAATGCAATTACGTATCGGCTATAACTTGAAAACTGACAACTAAGCTTTGGTTTATTTCTTACCTGTTAGACTTGAAAATTTACTTTTTTCACAAGAAACCATGAATGCATCCCCAAGCATACAAAAAAACTATAGATTTATCCGATGTCTTCTTTGTCGCAATTATTGAAATCGTAGCTTGACTCGTCACCATTTCTTTTGAAGTGTCTTCAGATATTTCTGCTTTGTTTGTCGTCTTTCCCACTTCTGTTTCCGTCGTTATCGTTGAAGTGTTCAGATTCGTCGGGACTGCTGGGATTTTTGAAATCGGGCACTCTTCTGTCTCCACATCATGTCCAGTTTCTTTACTCTTTGGCTCGCCACCTTCTGGATTCTCACTAGGTACTATTTGAACCTCATGCTCTGGTGAACTGCTAGATGATAGTGTTAGGTCTACCACTTCTCCGCAAATTTGTAAGTGAACTGATGTAACGCGATGCCGATGTTGATGGTGATTTCTTCCAATCCGCCAGTGTTGCGTATAATCTCATCGTCTTTTCCTGCAACTGGTCCAGTTTCTAGTATGGTCCCGTTTTATTCTCAGCGTCTGATCCGTCTGATGAGGATATTACCGGATATACATCTGGTCTCGGAAGTATTGCCACTGACCTGCTCGGGTTACTAGAACTACATTGATGCAGAGGTTTCCTGGGAGTGTTCGCTGATGGCCTCTTCATATCTTAATCTGAAAATTTTGATGAGATGCGTTAGGCTTCAGTGAATGGTAATTTTTTCTGATCACCTTTCACTTATCCGTAATATTAGTATTGTTAGCGATTTCGACAATGATCCCTTTAAAAATTTTGAATAGAGGTTTTCCTGACTTCCTCCCAAAATTTTCCAGTAAACCACCACCACCTTCTCCGTATAGTGAATGAAATCGAATTGAAATTTACTTATTTTCGGTCTTTTCTCTGTCATTTCTAGCTCGACTCTGAATCTTAAGGTTCTCTGACTGAAGTCACTCCTCAAACTCGCTGCAAGTAACGGGTTCCTTTCCGTTAATTTCCTTAGTGCCTCCGATCCTTCTTTATGGTTCAAGTATCTCTGAGTTTCCGGTCATTTTCCGGCTTTGCAAGTGTTTCCAGTGCAGTGACACTCTTTGTTTCATTCGTCTCTGCTCGTCGTTCCTTTCCTTACGACTGACTTTTGGTCTCGTTCTGGAATCTGCTAGCCCCCTCATATCTTCTGGTTTCAGCATCGATCTTTCAGTTTTATCTTTATCCGAACTTACAGAAATGATAAGTTTGTCTCTAAATAGTGACCATTCAGTATTAGGTTTACGACCACAGTGAAACTCAAACGGTGCGTTTATGAGACTAGTATGCCGTGTTGTGCGGATATCTTCTGAAATAGTTTTTGTTGCTGATTGAATATTGTCAAACTTCGGATCCAACTGCGTTGCACCCAATTTCCATTTTATTGTCTGAATACACCTTTAAACGAGATCACAGCCCCGGTGATCTGCAACTGGGCAGAATATCTGATTGATCCCTTTTAATTTACAAAACTCTGCTAACTTGGCAATTTTGAATCCTATAAACTGATCAGTTCTCAAATTCCGCGGAGATATGCTGACTGATATATCCGTTTGAAAATTTGATAGTTTTTTTCACTCCCTGAATTTGAGATTATAGAAGATGGATATCCTGCAAATGGATATCCTTTGAGAACTTGTCGACTGCGACCGATATGAGAAGCTTTTTCCCCTTTTGATCAAAAATGGGTCCTGCAAAGTCTAACTGAAACTTTTTGTTTGGTCCGGAAAGATTTGTCGGTGGTCTGTAGAATTAAACGACTTAGACGTCTTAAGGTTCTTACCGGTTGCTGAACGCGCTCTAAACGATTGGCACGCATCGATGATTTCTTTATGCATTTGCGGCCACCAGAGATATTGGGCCGCTTCAATCATCGCCTCGTGGCGCGGATGCGTCCTATGAAAATTGGACATCACTGCTTTCCTCAAGCACGTTTGGATGGCAAATCTGTTCGCTATCACTGTGCAGTCATTGATTACTGCCGCGTCATCCCAGAAGCTGGCCAAGTAGCTTCCTAGTCTGAGGAATCCCTCTCTGTCTTTCGCTAGGATGTGCTTCCTCAACTGACCCAGCTGGCTATCCTCAGTCGTCAGTTCTCCCAAAACATCGGCGTCCAGAATATTGTATAGCCCAACAGTGAACAACTTTTTGTCACTGGAGATGATGGGCGTTTTGATCAAGTAGTTCCCCACACTTAACCTGCCACCATATTGACCTGAAGTTTGCCAGCATCCTAGCGTAGTTCGTCTTGTTCTGGTTCAGTGGTCTTTCTCTCCTTCTCCTTTCTGTCCTCTGCGATTCTAAGGGCTCTTTTGTATTCTTCCTCTTGAGTCTATAGGGCTTTCGATCTGGTTAATCGATGTAGATTGGACTGTTCCATAAGATTCCTCTGGAAGGGCAATTTTTTGATTTTGTTGATTTTTAGATTGATTTAATTAATGGTAATATTCGGAAATAAAGATTTAGCAGTTATTCTAGCTGAGTACGCCATCCCTTCTTCTGATAGGTCTGATTCTGGCTCGATGCCCTGTCGTGTCAAAACGGTGGTGTTCGTGCATAAATATGTAATCAGCGACTGTGATTGGACAGTTTTTTCGGCGCATGCAAAGTCGCTCTCCTGAATTGAAAATTTGCTTAAACTTTTCTGATTGGGTTAAAATTTTGCGGCGTTTGCACAGGAAGTTTGTGAAATTGCACAAAATGATCTAATTGGCTAGAATAAAACGGCATGGTTTTTGCGCTCTTTTGCGGAAACTCATACATTTTCATAAAATACTCTGACTGGTTAATAATTACCTTGTTGGTTCTTCTAAAACAACTTGATTTGGCGGTGAGTTCGCTTAATTCTGATTAGTTTATGTACAAGTCGTCGCGCTCTTGAGTCGATCCGGCGCAATTCGATTTTTTCTTCAATAAATTTACATCTTATATGAATTTGAAAGGCTGCACATCAATGTCAATGGGTGATGATTTGATATTTACATACATGATTTTATTTTGGTTTGAGTGGTTCTGATTTGAAGCGTTAATCACTTTACATGCCTCGTCGAAATTCATGGCTGCTTAGACTGCAAATTAACCGTCGTAGAGCGATAATGCAAGGGCTTCGAATTTGGGGTTTCTTGGTTGGTAATCTTCCAATTAATCTTGAGGGATATGTCATAATTCCTCTATTTTCAGTGAGCGCTGTGACTAAGGCCTTGTAGTCAGTTATATTTTGAATTTGGTTTCCTATGAGGTAATTCCGGAAGAATTCGCCAGACCATACTACCGCAAGTATTTCCAATTCGTTCGTAGTGTAATTTTGCTCTGCAGAATTTCAATGTCTTGAGGTAAAAACGATAGGAACTCATATGTCTGGTTCCAGTTGTTGCTCCAATGGGGCGCCTAGCCCTTTATGGCTTGCGTCGCACTTGACTCTCAATTGTTTGGAGGCATCGTAATGATACATCTTCGGTATTTCGACGATTCGTGCCAGTATGTTCTGAAATGCCGTATCCTCTTCGGTGCTCCAAATTAATTTTTCCTTGTTGCTTGCTTGAGTGATTGGCATAGAAGTTCTGCGTGCATCTGGGGATTTGGAATGAAACGAGACATGTGGTTAAAAACGCCCGTGAAAAACCTCAGTTGCTTGAGCAATTTCGGCAGTTGTAATGCCAGAATGGCTTCTATCTTTGAATGTGTGGGTTTGAAACCTGTTTCATCTATTTCGAAGCCCAGCCACGTTAGGTTGGTTTTTGAGAACTCGCAATTGCTTAGTTAGCGCACAAATCTTTTCTTGTCAATTTTTGTCATTATTTCTTCCACTATCTCTTTGCATTTTCTAACTAAACCTTTTAAAACTATTGAAATATCATCTAAAAAACAGAATACTCCTTGTAAATGTTGAACTGTATTGTACATCGCGTTCTGGAATTGCTTTGGCATGTCTGTTAGGCCAAAAAAAAACTGTTTCAAATCTGTATGTTCCAGTGAAATCTGGGCATACGATGCTGAAGTTGCAGTGTTTGCTGACGGAGTCGTCCAAAGTTAATTGACAGAATGCGTACTTCAGATTGAGGGAACTGAACTATACTTGCCTTCTAATTTGGAAGTAATTATTTGGGCTGCTGGGTTTAGTAGTTCTAATAAATTTGGCATCTGAAACTTTTTCTTGTATAATTGGGAGTTCATAGGTTTCGCATCCATCGCTAACTTTACCGCGCCAACTTTCTTAGTGGTGATGACTACCGGAACCACGAATTGATCGCTTGTGCACTTGACTAGTTTTGTGATATGTTCCTCTGATCAATTTTTTAATTTCTGCTCCAACTTTACCCTGTATGTGGATGGGCACCCTTCTCCCCTATTCCTAACTAGGAATTAATAGCTATTTGAAAACTATGTGCACTTTATGATTCTTAGAGCAAATGAATCTTTGAAATACATTTTCCACCGTCGGGTCTCTTCTGATTCTTGTTCAAGTTGCGACGCTTTGTTTATCGTTCGCGAGGATGGTTTCAATTGA